CTTTACTAATAATAAAAGATGTAAATGAAAACAACTTTGAGGCACCACCTCATATGCACGAAATTGGCAAAAACAAATCAAAATGATAGCGGGCCTGTGAGGAAATAGGCACACGGTACTCGTAAAATTACAAATTAGTATAACCTTTTTCCAAAAAAGAGTCATAAAACTGTTTATATCCAGTAATCCCACTACTGGAAATACATAGCAAGGACAAAATTAAACAGAAGAGTGCTATTCTTATAAAGATGTAGCTGATCACCCAAATGTCTCATTTTATAGAGAGGGAAATGAGGGCTCCAGAGAATTGAATTGCCCGGTTACTCAAAAAGCCAAGTAAGGATTTGAACCCAGCTTTTCTGGCTCCAAATCGACAATGTATTAGTAAGTGCAGTGATCTCCTTCCTTTATACCATACCACCTCTTACTAGTAGCTGACCTATTATTATAGGTAAGCAAAAAAATGAAAACACCTCATATATCCAGTAGTTAGGGAACAAACAACAGTTAGGCTGAATGAACAACAATCAATGTAACAGAGTACATTTGCTATTCAGAACAACAAATGAGAGGACAGCATAGTATACAGAGAGCTGGAATCAAGTCACGAATAATAATAAATAATAATAGCTAATATTCTATGTACACGAATTTAAGGTTTATAATGCACTTTACATATATTATCATGTTTGATCTCTGACTTTTATCTAAGGCTGTGACAACCTGGGGAAGTCACTTAACTTCTCAATGCCCCAGATAACGCTGTGGCTGTCTGTACATACATCACATACTGATCTGAATGGGTGGAGGGAGTTTCTCATTGAGAGTTCCCTATATGTACCAATGTAATCTTATCTGCCCTCCCCCAAAGTACAAGTAAGGAGAACAGTAAGAAATTAGATCAGACGTGAAATAATGAAAAGACAAAAAAGAAAAACAAACTACCTAGAATAATATTGTTCATATTGCCACACGAATATATACGAAGAGACAATCAAAGATATTGGTAGGAGCAACTGATAGAGAAAGAATTAATTGTTGCTCTGAGCTTCAGTACTGCCATATGTAAGATGGGAATAGTACAAAGTACCTATCTCACAGAGGTGCTATGGTGCTAAGTAAAGTACATAAAAATTCCCAAAGGGGCAGGATTAGAGAGAAAATAGAAGCTTATTTTTCTTTTTAGAAATTACATACAAGTGTATTTTTCAAAAATATCCCCGATACAATTTTAGAATGGATTAACAAATTGATGATTTGTGAGCATTTAGAATACCTCTTACAAGCCACTAAATACAAGTCATGTCAGACTAATGTGACATCCCATTTTCTGACAGTTACTTCATTGGTAGGGGAATGCTAAAGAGCTAGTTTATCTGAACCTCAGCAAGGACAAAATTTCTAATGACTAACTTTATGGACAGGACGGACAGGCAGGGACTGGATGATGGTAGTTCTACCAAACTGTAACCAGTTGAATGGATAAAGAGTATTGGTTAAAGTAATAATGTAAACCCTGACAAAGGTTTGGTCTTCACTGTTATGTTCAAAAGACCTCATTCACGCTTATCAAATTCTCAGGTTGACATCTTTTATGCTATCTTTTATCTTTGATGCTATGTAAGAACTCAAGAACAAGGACTCTTACTTATTTGCGTATCCCTGAAGCCACAGTTGTCTACCATAATAGATGCTTAATAAATGCTGATGGTGACAATGATGTTTGTTTATCCAGTTTAGCAAGACTGTTGTTGAGCTACGTAACGCATACCAACACTGCTTCCTTCATCTACTTTATGAAGACTTTTTTTCCTAACAGTCTTTGGACATCATTATAGTGGAGCTTTACCCCCAAGAGATCCGTTTACTGGGGAATCACTGTATTTATTTAGGGATCCTATGCATGCATGTCAAAGCACTTCATCAAGCGGCATATTATCCACATGTTACACTAAGGAAGCAAAGATCTGTGACTGGTTCAAGATGACAGGATGCCTCATTTCCCTCCTGACCCTATCCCTGACTTCTGGACTTCAAAACCATGCCCCTGTGGCTATCTTCTCCAGGAACTTACAGAGCCTGGGGCCTCTGACTGGCATACCCAACCACCTCTGGGGCCTTCTCAACTTGGAATATTCCTCTACGACACCTGCCCTCTTCTAATGGCGAGTTCCTCCTGGAGCTTCCATGATCTGGAGAAGCCCAGGCTGGCCTGCCTTCATTCCCTTCCCAGCCCTAATCTTGGCTTCTGGACTTCAAAACCATGTCCCATGACAGGCCTTCATTACCCAACCTCCTTCACTTTTGTATGTCACATTTCCCCCATTAGAATGTAAGCTCTTAGAGGGCAAGGGCTGTCTTTCTTTTTGCTTGTATCTGTATCCCCAGCACTTGACACACAATAAACATTTAATACATGCTTGTTTCCTTCCTTCCCTCAGGACATACAAATTTAGACCAGAATTAATGAATGGGACCAACTGTGCTTGTCATTTAACTGACAACTGAACAAAACTGGCTTTGGAGTTGCCCTAAAACATAATGATTAAATAAAAAACAGTAAGTGCAGAAATTCTGTACTTGATTTCCCTTGGACTTCCCCATTCTTTATTTTATCCTCTCAATTTCCATGTTCCATTCCAAATCATTTGCCAATTACTTCTTCCGGCCCAAAATGGATCACACTTGATTTTGAACTCCAAATTCTTATTCCCATTTCAAGTGAGATTTGAGTTCACAGCTCTGCCAATCAATGCCTGAGAAGCATTCTGCTTAATCTTCCCTTGCTTTCTTAATCACAGGCAGACACAATTCTTCCCAACTTTCATAATCGTTCAAAATTCTAAAGGCAATTTTTGAGAGAGTTTCCTACAAGATCAACAATCCAAAATGAGCTTCCAAAGATATGGAAAAAACAGAGCTTTCTAAAAGGCTATCAGAAACTGCACTTCAAATATGGAAAACTGTTAGATTCGGGCTCATCAGAAAATTCAAACTGAAGACATGCAGCTATCACACCACCAAATTAAACCTTCAGACATCCCAAGTCAGAAGTCCCCCACAAAAGTCAAGGGTTCTGGCTATGTACCAGGTCTTGGTGTCTTTCATTCCAATATGAAAATGAAAATTAACCAGATTATCTCTGTATACCACCCTTTATGGTATACTTCTACTTAGGTATCACGAGTGCACGAGCACATGGGCATGCACGCACGCACGCACACGCACACACACACACACACACACACAGAGCCATATTTTATACTCACACTTTTTTAAAGCATACGGACTTGTCTCCTCTTATAGTAATTGTGAATCCATCATATTCCTTCCCTTGGTCTTTGAGGCTGGGAACTTTTGTATTCACAGTGAACCCATCTCTTGTTTTACTGTTAAACTGCTTTCGGGAAGAAAGAAGAGTAACATTACCAGTCTGTAACCTCATAGCCAGCCCTACTGTTACTTAGCAATACACATTTTTTACTTGGCTATTTTAAACAAGGTCAACCTGATACAATAAATGAACTGTTGTCTATAATATCAATCAGTTACTGGGGAATGGTTATCTCTTGCATGGTGTAACAGAAAGGGCTCAGGACGAGGAATCAGAAAAGTGGGCTATAGTTTCTGCTCTAGTATTTAGAAGCTGTGGGATTTGGGAAAACATTGAAAACTTCTCTACATCTCAGCCTTTTAAGAGTAGCTAAGTGGCACAGTGGAGAGACTGCTGGTCTGGAGTCTGAAAGACCTTAATTCAAATCCAGCCTCAGACACTTACCAGCTGAATGACCCTGGGCAACTCACTTTTCCGTCTGCCTCAGTTTCCTCAACTGTGAAATGGAGATCATGACATGATGGAGATCTTCCTTGAAGGGTTGTCAGGATCAAATGAGAAAAATATTTATAAAGTGCTTAGCCTGGTACCTGGCATATCATAAACACTTAATGAATGCTTTTCCCCCTCCCCCCACCTCATGTTAAATTAGGAGCCTGGACTAAAGATCCTTCCAACTATAGTATCAGATAATTTTAGCTTATTCCATGTAACAAAACAGATTCATTCTAATGATCCTAGATTCTCTGAATCCAACTTTTAGTTTATCCTTACACATAGCCCAGGGGACAAAAAAAAAAAAGCTTCCCTAATCAGCAGAGCAAATTCTCATTTTTCTCCTATGCCTTTGGGTTTCTATTTATGGCCACCCACATCTATCTGCCTTGAGGGGCAATAATAGTCATTCCCAAGATAAAATCAGTATCGTACAGTAATAAAGAGCAATGGATTCAGAGTCCAAGAATTCAAAGTAAATTCCATGCTCTGCCACATTATTACATGTCACCTTAGGTAAGTCACTTCACCTCTCTAAGATTCAGCTTCATCATCTGCAAAATGATAGGACTGAAGAATATGGCTCCTAAAGTCCTTTCCAGCTCTAAACCTATGATCCCAGCACATAGGAGGTGCTTAATAATGCTTGTTGACTGGTTGATTGGTGTGCAATCACCCTGTTTCCAAACAGAAAACATCCTGATGGCTTACACACATACTGTGTGTAACTACTGTCCTGCCATCTTTGTAATGGGGGTATTTTAACAGGAATGCCATGAAATGGGACCTTCAGTCTTTAGGTTGGGATATGCACACCATTACTTTGTGTTAACTTTGTACTTACTGCAGAATAGATTGAGCATAAATTGTTATTAAGAACTTAATAATTGTAAAACATGGTCTATTATGAAAAATAAGCTACCCTAATTTGAGTCAATGAACAAATGCCAACTGCTTTGTACTTGCTGGTCAGTAAGAGTAATAATGCTGGAGCCGGGTCACTTAATTTTTTAATGGTTATATTGCAATTCAAAGCTAAAAACTTTGTTGTTTGTCTACCATGGATATTCATGCATAAAATACTTTCCTTCAATTTAAATAAACATATGAAGGACTGTGTAAAATCACTCAATTTTTGGTTATTTTGGCTATAGCTTCAAATCTCTTACAAAGCACTCTATGTAACTGCAGAATAAAAATCCACCAAGTGAGTAACCTAGCTTATGATCTCATTAATGCCCCTTGAGGATATAGATGACCTCAATTTTATGTTCTTCCATAATGCTTGTTAGAATTATAAAAATGCTAAAAGGCATAGAGTTTGCCTGAGAGAGTTCAATAGATGGCAGTGAAAACAATAAATAAATGATCATATAAAAATGATACAAGGAGATTTCACAGATGTTAAGGCTAATCTAAACAAATTATCAGTGATAAATGAAGATTATTTCAGATATCAATTTAAAAAAATTAATGTAATGAGCACTCTCCATTCACAAAAGAATTAAAAATGAAGATACTGCATTTGTCTCTACTCCTCACAAAAGAGAAGCAAGTCCAACCTTGCTTGTTTCAAATTGCTAGTTTTCTAGGGAAGACGGGCCATGAAGAGAAACTAACAGAATAAATGAAGAAGTTACTTGCTACAACCCTTTTGTGGAATTTGGATAGAGAGCAATAGAATAAAATGGAAACTCACTCCACGCAAACTGGAGGGACCACCGAAGGCACTTGAAGGATAATAGACAAAGACCAAAAAGTCTTAAGTTGGGCAACAAAAATTACAAAGGTAAAAGTTTGGCACTGAGGCAGAGTTGAACATCTCACCACAGTTATCCAGCATAAAATGTAAAATGAAATGAAGAAAAAAGAATGGGCTCAAGTGTATCTTTAACTTAGGCTCCCACTGTAACCTCCTTAGTTGAGTTCCTTTATTACCTCTTGCCTGGACTATTGTAGAAGCCTCTTAACTGGTCTTCCAGTCTCCAGTCTAATTCTTCTCTAAATCCATTCTTCACACCGCTGACCAAGTAATCTTCCCAGCAACACTCCTCTGATCACATCAGGTCCTTTTAAAAAAAATTATTTAAAACCTTCAGTAGCTCCCCATGACCTTCCCCAATAAAGTATCAACCCCTGATCCTTGAATTCAAGGCTCTCTGAAATCTGTCTGCAACCTCCTTCCAGTCTTAGCTCAGACTACTCCTTTTCACATACTTTTTGTTCCAGCCAAGATGTACTACTTCTACTACTCTCCACCTCTTATTCTCACCTTGCCCTCTCTAGTTTTCTGTGCTTTTGCTCACGCTATCCAGCATGTCTACAACAGACATTCTTTTTTCCCTCTTCCCACCCCTATATATGTCTGCTGAAGTCCCACGATTCCTTCAAAGACAAATTAGGGGCTGTTTGCTCCACAGAACTCTCCCTAATACCCTCTACACCCAGCTGAATGTGATCATTTCCCTCCACAAATTTCTCACAGCATGCTGCTGAAACCTCTCCTTTGTGTTTCACACATATCTGTTTAAATGTCATTTTTGGACCATTCAACTGTGAATGCCTTGCAACTGTGTGACATATCTATCTTTGATATTAGGCACTTTATACCCAATTTTTTTGTTGTACTAAGCCTTCTAAAAGAAGCATATATTTACACTTCCAACGTTCTGTTATCTAAACACTTTATTTCATCCTTGAAAATTTAAAAAAATTGAAATGCCAAGTTAAGTGCTTTTAAAAACACGCACATATTCGTGATCCCTTTGTACTGAAGCCAGTCACAAAGTGTTGACAACTGTTCCCTTCCCACAGGACACCACCACCCCATAGTCCAACTGACAACAACATTAACAAACAGATATGAACAAAATAAACAGCAGTGAGTTCTTCGTTTTGAACAGTAAGCAGGCTGCCTTAAAGGCTCTACTTTCTTTATCAAATTTCTCTTTTGCTTTTAAAATAAAGATGTTCACAAAATATCTGCTTCCTTTTAAAAGTCTGTTCCTACTTAAAGAAGTTCCTTCTTATAATGAAGGTATTTGATATCTCAAAGGCAAAGGATTTGTTGCCATAATTCTATGGCAAGTCTAAGTGACTAAAATGATTCATATAAACTAACTATAAGGACCCTAATTAACAAAAGGAATTCAGGAGTTTCATCACATTAAATAATAACCTGAAAGACATTTTAAATGTATCTTTTATTCAGAAACTTCTACTTTCAAAACAATTTTTACATATATTAATCATCAAATGATCATCAACAACCACTTGAGGTAGATATAATTTAACGGATAAAGAAAGAAGCTCAGAGAGGTTAATATGACTTTTTTCAAAGTTAAGTGGCTTATCAACCAAATTAATTAATTAACCAATTAATTGACCAAACCAAAACTAGAACTCTGGTCTCTGGACACTTGGTCCAGCAGTTTTTTCCACTATACTATTCAGCTTATTCATTCACCTACTACGCCAGAAGTAAGTTATTTACCCTTACACAACACAGAATGAATAAAGTTCAGGAAATTCATGTCACATATTAGAATGATGATGAATTAATACATTTTGGTCTTCAATTAATACTAATAGCTAGCATTTTTAAGTTTGCAAATCATTTTACATATGCTATATATCATTTGGTCCTTAATTATAAAAAATTGTGAGATAGGTTCTATTATTATCCCTATGTTCCAGATGAGGGAACCAAGGCCATGTGAGGTAAAGTGACTTGCCTAAAGTCACAGCTACTCAGTGTCTGAGGGAGGATTTGAACTCAGGTCTTCCTGACTCCAAGTACAGCACTCTATCCACTGAGCTTCCCAGCAGCCTCTAAATTATGACTTATTTGATTAGATAAAATAGGTGATAACATCACCTTACTCCCTCTAAAACTTAAAACACACAAACACACACACACACACACACACAACCACCACCACCACCAATGGCACATGTTATTTGATCCAAGGAAAAGATCTGGCCATAATTAAATGATTTCACAACTATACTGATTAAAATCATAATCCTAGCAGTTTTTTCTTTAGTCAGTAGTTTTATTTCCAAAAGCATCAGATTCATGACAAATTTACCTTCATAATTGGAAGAAGATCTTCTACTTTGTGTACTTTTTCAAGAGCTTCTCGAACTTCTAACAGTCCTTTGGGATTATTAGCACTAAAAATACAGAGAGGTGGCAGTTAAGGATGCAGAAATGTAATAATTAGCCAAGCTATTTACAGCAATTTTCCATTTTCAATTTAAAAAACTTTTTCTTCGTCATGAGTTATTCAGAATGTGCAAAGTTAGTGATAAGCTATATAGGAATGTTCTGAACCATGAAATGGACTTGATGCTAATGGGCTTTGAGAAACAGATGAGAACTTAGGTAGATGAATTATGTTGTTGTTGTTTGTCCTTCTTTCTCAAAGAGGACCAGTGACATCAGGGAGGTGATGCCATGACATGCAAGTGAATTGGATTTAAGTGAGGGAGGGCTATGCAAAGTCACCAGCCTCACTTTCTCCTCTGGAGCCATCTGGGTCCAGTGGCAAGATACAGATCAGGATGACTGGAGATAGCTCTGGATGCAGTGGAAGATCTTGGCCTTTTTAAGCTAAGGTCTTTAACAGGTCTGTCTGACTGAGGCAATGCCCACTCAGTGATTAAGGCTAGGTAAGAAATGAGGCAGAGAATGAATGAGTCATCCTCACTGAATTGACAGCCTTGAAAGTAACAGTCAGTTCGTACAGTGTTTGTTTGTGAACTAGCACAAATCTTTGTTTGTCCTATGCTGAAAATAAAAATGGGATATAGATTTTTGTTTCTATTTTTTTCTTTCACAAACTTTATTTTAAGTTCAGTTATAGAACAAAAGCATCTCTTTTCTTGGGTGTTTTTATGACATTTCATATTTGCATAGCAATTTACAATCACTTTTATAGAAGAGTAAATGAGGTCCCTGGGCCACTGGATGAGCTGAAAAACAGAACTCAGACCTCTTTATTCCCAGTCTCGGGTTTACTTTAAATAAGCCATCAGTTTAGTCATGTTTTTCAGTCGTGTGCAACTCTTTGTGATCTCATTTGGGGTTTTCTTGGCAAAGATACTGGAGTGGTTTGCCATTTCCTTCTCCAGCTCATTTTACAGATGAGAAAACTAAGGCAAACAGGGTTAAGTGGCTTGCCCAGGGTCACACAGCTACTAAGTGTCTGAGGCTGGATTTGAACTCAGGAAGATGAGTCTTCTTGACTCCAAGCCTGGCACTCTATTCACTGTGCCACCTAGCTGCCACATTAGCCATACTGCCTTGAAATTCCTCCTCCTCGACACTCTCTGCCTTGAGTTTTGTCACATTGCTCTCTCCTGGCTCTCCTCAGGCCACCTGTTAGGGCATGTCTTTTTCAGTTCCTGGATTAACCATCTATGTCTTAATTACTTTGTGTGGAAATATGTCAGGATCCCTCCTGGGTTCTCTTTTTTTCTCTTTCTACATTCTTTCTCTTGGTGATTTCATTAGGTCTCATGGGTTCAACCATCTATGCCAATGATTCCTACATCTATATATCAGACCCTAATCTCGACTCTTACCTCTAGTCCCACATGACCAACTTCATGGACGTTCCGCACTAGATGTCCCACAGGCATCTCAAACTCACTATGTTCAAAACAGAATTCACAATCTTTTCTCCCAAACCCACCCCTCAATTCATAACTTCCTTATTTTCTGCTGGCAGTACCAACATTCTTTTGGTCATCCATACACACAATCTTAGCATCATTTAAACTTCTCACTCCCCTTCACCCTACACATACACTCTGCCATCAAGTCTCGTCAATTCTACTGCCACAATCACTGTCTCATCTGTCCCCTTCTCACAATTCACATAGCCCCTACCCTCATTCAGGACTTCATCATCTCTCACCTGGACTATGGCAACAGCCTTCTTCCCAATAGGCTTCCCATCCTCCCATATCTCCCCTATTCAATCCATCCAGACAGCTGTCAAGTTGATATTCCTAAAGCCTGGGTCTAATGATGACATTCCCTTGGCACAAGAATCTCCAGTGGTGCCCTATTGCCTCTAGGATAAGATACAAACTCTTCTGTCCTCACTTTTAAAGCCCTTTGCAATCTGGTTCCAGGCTTCTTTTACACTACTCATCCCCAGACAGTCCTGTGGTTTAGGCCAAATTGGCCTATTTATTATTTCCTGCAAGCAACATTCTACCTCCAATGTCCATACCTCTGCAAAGGCCATATGTGGAATGTACTCCCTCTGCACTGTGGCCAGCCACCCAAGATCCTTGATTCCTTCAAAGCTTAGCTCAAATGCTTCCAACACAAGAAGCAATTTCTGATTCTCCTACAGAAGCCAATGTCCTCCTCATCAAAAATTATTCTCTATCAATCTATCACACGCACATGAACACACATGAATTTTGTTGTTACTTTTTTTGGGTATGTGTTATTTTCTACCAAGAGGATGTAAACTCCTTGAAAGCAGTAACTATTACATTTTTGTCTTTGTCTCCCCAGAAACTAGCACAGTGCCTGGCAATTAGTAGATACCTAATACT